CTACATATTATTGACAGAGATTGATATAGCATATTACTACCTATACTTATATAACTTTTAGTTTAAATAAATGCAAGCGTAGAGGACCATGCACGCTCTGAAGCATTGTTAGTCTTAACTCTTAAGCTTTTAGAGCTGTCTAGTTTTAGCAACAATTATATACCTACAAAATATACCTTTTTTTGCTTTGTAATTCTTATGACCAAGCAGAATAATAATACGAGATAATAGCACTATGCGCTCTTCTGGCACGACAGAATATAATAATAATTGTAACAAAAATATAATAAATATAATATAATAACTCACAGTAGTTTGTGGAGTGCAGACTGGCCAGCTGGTCCTGAGCTATAGGTATTATAATACAAAAAAAAACACATACAACAAAAGAATACAATTCTTTAAAGTGTTACAAAAAATAGGTAGCTGCTAAAAGAGTATAATATAAAACTGACGATTGCGCTTATTACGTCAGTAATAACTAATAATACTATAATGTCACACTGAGAATTTAATATAATAATTTAATTTGGTACAATTTAATTAAGCCTTTCTGGCGCTAATAATTATAATAAAAAACAATATTTGCACAAACTTATTTTACAATTATTAGAAATAATAAATATATTTTTTCTTTGCATACACCGTGTTAACGAGACAACGTTTTATACGAGACGGACAAAGAAGACAGTGTCACGGCGGCCGTGTTAATTAAAAATTTGCATAGCCGTTGCTGCGCCATACGATAATGAGTCTTAATTATCTATGTTATATAATTCACAAGGCACATTTAAATAGGGTACATACAAAAATAAATATTATGGCAACAGGTGATAGTGTGTGTGTGTGAGTGTGAGCAACCAGCTATTCTCTGTGGCCCAGTGGCGGCTATCAAACAAAAAAAAGGTGTAATAAATTTTGAATTTAGTTACCCACCCACCAACCCTGGTATACAATTTAGTGCCAATTTAGTGCCTAACCAATAATTTACATTATTATTCTACCCTCCTATTAATAGAAGAAAAAATAGTTTAAGATTTTTTTTATTCAATTTAGTAATTTGTACAATATTAATTTTAAGTAACTAAACTTAAGTTTAAGTAACTGGTTAGTTTTTCATAATAATAATAATAACAATATATTAATTGAATAATTCACACCGAATGTTTAGTTAGTACAGAACTTTCTTCAGCAAAACTTTTTAATATATTATCATGATCAATAACTTCTGAAATATCTCTTTCACAACTTATTATCAGTAAGTCTTCAAGTCTATTTTCTGTCATGGTTGTCCTTAATCTAGACTTAATGATTTTGAGTTTTGAAAAACCCCTATCTGTTGATGCAATAGAAACTGGGAGAATCAGTGCAATTTTCAGAGCTGTATGTAGCACTGAAAATACTGAAGCCAAATTATTGTCGTGGAGTACTTTGTATACRTTTTTCATACTACATGCATTTATTACAGTTATTGGATTCCGTTTGGGTAGAACTATTTCTTCTTCACTACTGTCTGATTCAACGCTATCATAATTCTGCACATCTTTGTGAAACGATGTAGGTAATGCTGTTGTTTCTTCAAAMATTTTGTAAATTTGACAAAATTTTAAATATTCACTCTTTAAGATATCAATGATTATGAATTTATTGTAAATTTTACAAAATTCAACAAATGCGTCATCAGGTATTCTATTTGAATTATTTTTAATCTCATTCATTCTTTTAATGGAAAATAGTGACAAGTCTTTGTAAATGCCCACAGCTGAATTGTTGAAATGCCCAACCGAATGGTCATCTGGACCTTCGATCTTTCTAACATTATCCAAAGTATCTATTACAGAGTCATAGGTTTCAAGAACAGCTTGCAGTGCTCTATCTTGTGACATCCATCTAGTTGTACTGACGTGTTTTAGACAACGACCTTTTTTTGTCCCTGAATATTTAATTTGCACTTCTTCAAAATAGGCAACTCTTTTTTTACTATTACAAATGAAATTATATACTGTTTCCATATTTCCAAATAGGTCTACAGCATCTAAGCTGCATCCTACTGTCTTTGCTTCAACAAGATTTAATCGGTGAGCTGAACACCAGATAAAAGTCGCAGTGGGGCACTTTTCTTTAATGAATGACTGTAGGCCATTATATTCTCCTCTCGTGTTCTGTGCTCCGTCATAGGACTACCCTACTAAGTAATTTTTCCAATCAAGGCACAAAGATGAACATATATCTTCAAAAAGTTTAAATAATCGAACACCAGTAGTTATGGATGATTCTTTTAAAGCAAGTAAACGCTCACATATTTGCCCATTCATTTGAAGATAACGTACAACAAATGATACTTGTTCTCTTCTAGAATAATCAAAGGTTGAATCAATTGATACACTAAAGAATTTTGAATGCTGTAGTTCATTTTTGATCAATGATTTTATACTGTTAGAAATGCTTGAAATTAGTTGATTCTGACGATTTTTTGTTAAAAAATTAACTTCATGTTTTTTTGTTGACATTTCTAATTGAGTAATGTATGAAGCGAGACATGGAGAGTATTTTGACATCATGTCAATCAGATTTAAGAAATTTCCATGATTACCAGGTTTTCTTAAAGATTCTCGATGTCCACGAAATGCTTAACAGTTTCTACTCAAAAACATTGTTGCGTCGATTAGTACTTTAATTATTTCTCTGTTAATTGCTTTTTCTTGCTTATTTTTTTCTTCAAGTAATTACAATATAGGCAAGGCAGTCAATCTCATTTTAAATTTTAATGATGCTTCAATATGAAAATCTGAACACTCGTGTAATTGTATACTGGAAATAGCTCTAGACTAGAGTGCCTTGATAGAGAGAGTGTGGCCATACGGAGTATTGCTCTGATTGGACGAAATATTTTACCGCCATTAGTTGGCTACTTTTATTTTTGATAAGATGCTTTTACATACACAATCATAAGTTTTTTAAATTAAAAACAATTTACTATATGTATTTAATTGTTATTATTTG